ACAGTCGTTGTTGCAGCGTCCCCTTCCCAGGAACGTTTCCTGATATCTGTGGGGATTTTTTAAAATCTTTGTAAGCGCTATTGATCTAAACAAAGTGTTCAAGCAGTGGTCACTTATTTAAATTTGAACAACCTAAGATTACCTGACAAAGGCTTCTAGTGGTGTCTAATGGTGTTGTTAAAACAGTGTAAAACAGCAAAGGATTGGTTGGTTAGTTTGAATAATTGTTCTTAAAACTAATAAGGTCGATCCTTCTATCCCAAAACGAAATCATTCTGTACCATTAACCCAGTAGTTATGTGCTCTAACCTTACCCTGCCGTGTGTTCAGAAACGCTAACACAATTATTTTTTGTAGGGCAGTGAGTAACAATTATCTTCCAAGGAACAACCACCATATTGTCTTACAGTTGCAAGAAACCCTTTGGATTCTCCACACATAGCGTTGTGTGTTCCTTCCAAACAGCTCAACTTTGGTTTCATCTGTCCACAGAATATTTTGCAGAATTATTTGGAACATCCAGGTGCTCTTTTGCAAACTTCAAACGTGCAGCAATGTTTTTTCTGGACAGCAGTGGCTTCCTCCGTGGTGTCCTCCCATGAACTCCATTCTTGTTCAGTGTTTTACGTATCGTAGATTCGTCAACAGAGATGTTAGCATGTGCCAGAGATTTCTTTAAGTCTCTAGCTTAAGTCTCCTAGGGAGAGTAGCAACAGTGCTGAACTTTCTCCATTTATAGACAATTTGTCTTACCGTGGACTGATGCACATCAAGGCTTTTAGAGATACTTTTGTAACCCTTTCCAGCTTTATGCAAGTCAACAATTCTTAATCGTAGGTCTTCTGAGAGCTCTTTTGTGCTAGGCATGGTTCACATCTGGCAATGCTTCTTAAGAATAGCAAATTCAAAACTGGTGTGTATTTTTTATTGGGCAGGGCAGCTTTAACCAACACCTCCAATCTCGTCTCATTGATTGGACTCCAGGTTGACTGACTCCTGACTCCAATTAGCTCTTGAAAAAGTCTTTAGCCTAGGGGTTCACATACTTTTTCCACCCTGCACTGTGAATGTTTACATGGTGTGTTCAATAAAAACATATAATTGTTTGTGTGGTATTAGTTTAAGCAGACTGTGTTTGTCTATTGTTGTGACTTAGATGAAGATCAGAACACATTTTATGACCAACTTATGCAGAAATCCAGGTAATTCCAAAGGGTTCACATACTTTTTCTTGCAACTGTATGTATTTGCGTTAGGAAAACTTGCTTTAAAAGTAAGTTGGTAAAAGGCTGAAGCATGATCCAAGGAAGAACCCATTAAAAGTTGGAGCTGATCCGAATCACAGGGCACACTCATTATTTATCACTTATGGAAATGGCCTTGGCTTAGATCTGTGCTTTTTTAGGGCTTTTTCAGTATAATTTGTGTCCCCAGACTCTACAGCATGCAGTTTCTAAATTCTCCCTCATAAGTTATGTAGTTATAGTGCTGCTACAACATAATATCACCTGTTGTATTTTTTGGTTGATTGGGTGAATGGGACTTATAGATGTGGATGTCAGAGCAGCTGTCAGAGCAGGTCCTGATGGGGAGGACAAACTGCACAGTGGTTGTGACAGGATGAGGATGAGAGGAAGACAGGCAGCATCTGTGTGTGAGTGTGTGTGTGTGTGTGTGTGTGTGTGTGTGTGTGTGTGTGTGTGTGTGAGTGTGTGTGTGTGAGTGAGTGAGTGTGTGTGTGTATGTGTGTGTGTGTGTGTGGTGTGTGTGTGTGTGTGTGTGTGTGTGTGTGTGTGTGTGTGTGTGTAGATCTGGAGCAGTTAGAACAGCATAAGCAGATGTTTCCTCTATTTGGCTCTAGAACATGAAGAAAAACAAGGGCCTAACCTAGAAGACAGGGTCTCATTGATCACCTACAGTAACCCACTCAAACAGCGATACAAAGTTAAGTTAAGTTATAATAAATAACTTAACACAAGGCCTAATTCTGTTAAGATAATTGCATTTTATAGGCATATGAGTTGATGAAGCAATTCAGCAATGGTGAATCATGAAATTCTATGAATATCTTGTGCATTTAATGTAATCTGCGTGTAGAACTTGCGTTACACCTGCCTTTGAGAAAAAGTCCACACAATGTTTGCAAATGAGTGTGATTTATGGAAGTTGGTGCAAGAGGTCCAGTGAGGTCCACCTCTGTCCTGATAGTCCCGGTTTTGGTGAGCTGTGAGGAGTGGAGCAGCTGCACAGCGCTAATCCTAACAGGCAAACGTTGTGAACACAAGTGTTCTGCTGCTGCACAGCCAACCACATGTCAAAAGTGTCGAGTCACGCTGAGAGCAGCCACTTGCCCCAGGAATGCTCTATCACACTGGACTACACTGTATGCATTTCCTTTCCTTCAGAAGACTGCGGCCAATTAGCATTAGGGAAGTGTATGGTAAAGTCTGGTGTGAAATGAGTGACGACAATCAAGACTTTTCCAATTAGGGTGGAAGTTCATGAAAAGCGAGCTTGTCTTTTGATGATCACTTATCAACCCAACCCCTAAGTGGCAACCTCTGGTGATGTAAAATGAAGGGTATATGCGGATGTAGCAAACACTGCAGTTCCTCGGATGGCCACATGGCTCCAAAAGCGATTCAATCCACATAGACCCCCATGTTAAAAAGCCCAACACAGAAGAAATCAACAGGTGTTGCCGGTATAAAAAACTGTTTGGTGTAGCTAATTATCCCATTCATGAGAACTCTATGAGTGGTGATTTTTTTTTATATTGGCCATTTAAATTGCATTCAGGGTTAAAATTAAGTTTAATTAAGGAGGTGGCCGCTTTCAATGACAAGTGGGTGCAGTCTCTACAGCTTCAGAAACATACAGTATGGGTGATGTCACATGTATACATTCTATGGATAAGCATGTCCATCATCTGTAGAAAGATGCTAGTGCAACTCAACAGGGAACAACACTTGCAGGGGATGCAAACTATTTCATAATTATAACATACAATGGGGGATAAAAAAGTGACACAACTTTAAGAATTACTTAACATACAAATGTGTCCTGACACTTTCAACCCTATTGGAACCAATATTGCTTAGACAACATGTTGAAACTCTAAAGCATGGACAAAGAAAGACGACAACAATAATACTTTTGTATAACTTTTTCCTTCCTTTTCTTTTCTATTCTTCTTCTTTTTAAGTGCCATTAAGCTTAATTCTACTGTTACACATGTTTCAGTGTATTTTGTCATCATTTATTTTGCGGTCTCAAAGCAACCTTTTCAAACTCAATTATTTCTGTTTCTTCAGTGATCCATTCTTTTTGAATTTGTGTGCTTGAAGCAATCTGTTTTTTTTATGACTACTGTAGTTTGCACTTTTGACAAAGACACAATTGCAGACACTGATTGCAGATGGCAAGTAATAAAAGAAACATTCATAAATGTTCCTTCAGAAACATTTTGTGTATCTATAATTGTAGTCAGGGCATGCACCACAATACATCTACAGTCACAACATTACACACATCCACTGTTTAGTCAAAACTGTTAGCCATGTGTCATTGTGTAATAGCAAGAGTAGCATACCTAACTGTATAATACCAAATTACCTTATCGATTCAATTGTTTTATTTATTTAAGGTATTTTACCAGGAAGCGTGATTCTTATAATGCATAGTATTTATTCAGTATAATAACGGGCAGTAAAATGTCTGATTGTTTACAATCCAAGACAATTGATCCATCTACATGTAGTCTGAGAGTGGCAAAAAACCTGACATGTGGCTAAAAATCCCTTTTGGTGTCTATTAAAAATTGCATCAATTATATTGTTGGTCTTTTTGTTTTTGTCTGACTATTATTGTAAATAAAAGCTCCTCAAACTAATTTTTTGCAACTCTCATTTGCCATTTTGTTATCTTTCTTTTTTCTTTTTGTAACAACGTCTTGTTTTCTTGCTTATTACCTTTGAGGTGGTAAAAGTAACTAGAACTACTTACAAATAAAAAATAAGGTATATGGTGTGGCAAAAAAAGAACATCTCTACGCTTCTATCCTATGATGAACAATGTGTTATACATTCTCACAAAATAATACATTTGATTAGCAATTTAAAAAACAATTCGATCATTGTGTGCAAAATGATAGAGGCAGCGAAAGCACCTAAACCTAACATTTACAGGAATCCATGCCTGCGTGTTTTCGATGGCAGAGAAATACACGGTACTGGTATCATATCATTGTGATACTGAAAATGACAGTAACAAGGTCAATAATAGATCACTGCTGACCTTTACCTTACTGAAAGCTACTTTTATTTCCTATTTTCAGGGATTTATACACCTGCAGAAAGTGTGAGAATAAACAACACCAGCCATGAACTTGACAAACCCTAATATGACATAAGTGAAGTAACTACACAAACAACAGCACAGGCCGGCTAATCCCAGCTACAATAACTTTCAAGTAAGATCAGTAATGAGCCACAATTTCCACTTACTCATAACATGTTTTGTTTTTTTAAAACAAGCATGACAGAAGAAGATAAACAGGCAGAAGAAAGCTTTTTTAAAGCTCCTGCGACCGACAGACAAGCAAGCGAAACTGGTTTCAATCAAAACAAAACTACAAGCCCAGCAGCGCTATGATCTATTGTTAACAGAGATGGCATCTGAGGATAGCAGGAGCATTCACAAACACAACCTATACCAGCTTCTCGGAGCATTTCCTTAACACCGAATTGATTGTTTCCTCTGTCAAGTGTCATCTGTATCTCATGTTTCAGGACATGCATGACACATTTTCTTACACACAGCCCAGGGCTATTTGACATGTAATGTGTAAACAGATTGTGATCATTCAAAATATGATCATTCAGGCGAGTTTGGCTTGAGATCCAGCAAGTTCAAACACAGAAATAGGACGCATGGACGAGATGTTGCTCACATGAATCAGTAGCTCACGTAGGCAAAGAGAAGAATATAAATACTCTTACCTGAGATCACCTCCTGAGGCTAGTCCTGAGCAAATCCCACTGATGCCATTCCTAGAAGACACAATATGCAGTCAAGTATGAAGACAGTCACAGTGATAAGGAGGATGAATGATTTTAGATAATGACATTTGCAGGTAACACAGAGAAGCACCGCAGGCACAGAGTTCTGTAAGTTGTCATCATTTTAATACCATGACAACAAATGGGAAATTCCTGAGAATCAGATAAAATAAGCCCTGACACAATTTGGTTGTTGTGAAATTAAGTCTTTAATGTGTCTAAGATATGATACTTTGTCACTGTAGTAATTTTACAGTTTAAGTGGGTGTGACATTTCAAGCACTGGTAAACAAAACAAATTGTTTTAAAGGGCGCCCTATTATGCTATTATAGAGTTTCATGTTTTGTGCCTCTACTGCAGGGGTGGGGAACCTTTTTCTTCTCAAGGGCCATTTCAATTTTTACAACATCCTCCGAGGGCCGTACAAATTATTGAACTCAACGTCTGCTTAAAAAACTAAAATCACAGCCCATTCATTTCGCCTTTCTTTCATGCGAAACAGCAACCTCTTAATCCAGATATTTGACCATGACCCGCGCATTCATGCACCGTGGCATGACCACCAAAACAGAAGTATATGGACACAAGATGTGTGCAAATGTATTTAGTTTCATATCCATGTGGACATGATTTAAGTGGGGGGGGTTCTCCGTTAGAACTACACCCCTGTCTTCTTTTTTTGCGTGTGTTTATAAATTACCTCGAGGGCCGTACCAAATGGTCTCGCGGGCCGTATACGGCCCGAGGGCCGAAGGTTCCCCACCCCTGCTCTACTGTGATGCTTTAATGTTTAAAAAGCTCTTTACTTTTCTCATACTACCTGTGCTGCAGCACCTCTTTTCACCCTCTGTCTGAAACCAGAGCCCAGTCTGCTCTGATTGGTTAGCTGGCTGGCTCTGTTGTGGTCAACCGCTTAGAGATGTCCCGCCCCTTAGCCTATCACTGTCACGATCTGTCTTTATGGTGTTTGGTCTTGTCTTGTTTTATTTTGTAAGGTCTTCACTTCCTGTCTTGCCTGTTTCTGTCTGCGTTGTGTCTCGTTTGGATTTGTCTGTGGTTCCCTGTCGTTAGTTTCCCTGGTGTGTCTGATTACCCAATTGTGTTCACCTGTGGCCCCTGTGTTTTCTTCTCCCTCCTCACCTGTGTCTTGTTTGTGTGATTAGTCTTGTGTGTATTTAAGTTCTGTTTTTTCTGTCTGTCTTTGTCGGTTCGTCGTTTGTATGTGACTGTGTTCACCGGTGAGTGTTCTGTCTGTCCAAGTTCTATTAAAAGTATATCAGTTTAATCTGCATTTGGGTCCTGTTTCCTTCGCTCTACCGTGACAGAACGAACCGACCAAGAAATGGACCCAGCAGATGATCCATTTGAGGTGGAACTACAACATTTTTCCTTTTATTTGGCTTGCTGCTATGATTGGTGGAAGGGAGCGTCCAGTGTTCGGCAGAGGGAGGCCGCTCTGGTAGAGGCGCACCGGTTGGCTATGGAGAAACCAGACTTGGTGAAGTTCTTACCTGGCTGGATTTTGGACTTCCTCTGGGTGTGTGATTTCCAGCCTGCTGAATACAAACGTCTCTGTGTGTTCCGTCTGGAGTCAACCAGTGCTTCTGCCCCAGTTCCTGCTCCTGTCCAGGAGTCGTTTTCTGGAACTCGTCTGGCTTTTGGAGGTCCACGGAGCCTTCAGGCGGCTTCTAGGAGAAGGAGTCGCAAGTCCAGGCTAGCAGCCCAAGCCCCAAGAGCCATGATTCCGGTCCCAGTTTTGGCCCCAGCGGCCATGGTTCTGGCCCCAGCGGCCATGGTTCCAGACCCAGCTCTTGCCCCAGCTGCCATAGTCCCATCTCAAGTCCCTTCTCTAGTCCCTTCCCAAGTCCCTCCTCAGGTCACTTCTCTAGTCCCTTCTCTAGTCCTTTCTCAAGTCCTTTCTCAAGTCTCTCCTCTAGTCCCATCTCTAGTCCCATCTCCAGTCCCTCCTTTAGTCCCTTCCCTAGTCCCTTCTCAAATCCCAACTCTAGTCCCATCTCAAGTTCCCTCTCGAGTCCCCTCTCGAGTTCCCTCTCCAGTCCCTACTGAAGTGCCGTTGGAGGTTCCGGCTTCAGTACCGGCCCACACAGCAATGATCCAGGCTTCAGCTCCGGACTTTACAGCCATGTTTCCGGCTCCAGAACCGGACCTTACAGCCATGTTTCCGGCTTCAGAACTGGACCTTACAGCCATGTTTCCGGCTCCAGAACTGGACCTTACAGCCATGTTTCCGGCTCCAGAACTGGACCTTACAGCCATGTTTCCGGCTCCAGAACCGGACCTTACAGCCATGATTCTGGCTTCAATTCCGACCCCCGCAGCCATGGTTCCGGCCCCAGCAGCCATGGTTTCGGCTTCAGTACCGTCCCCGGAAGCCATGGGCTCGACTCCAGTTTCGGCTACAGGGCTGGCTCCTCAGCCGACGCCAGCTCCCCGAGTCTTGTCGGCGTACCGGCCGACTCCAGCACCTCGTCTTCTGCTGGCTCCCCAGCCGACGCCAGCTCCCCGAGTCTTGTCGGCGTACCGGCCGACTCCAGCACCTCGTCTTCTGCTGGCTCCCCAGCCGACGCCAGCTCCCCGAGTCTTGTCGGCGTACCGGCCGACTCCAGCACCTCGTCTCCTGCTGGCTCCCCAGACGACGCCAGCTCCTTGTCCTGTCCCGTTGGAGGTCCCGCCATCTACTCTCCTGCCGGGGGTCCTGCCAATCCTTTGTCCTGTGCCGTTGGAGGCCCCGCCGACTACTCTCCTGCCGGGGGTCCTGCCAACCCTTTGTCCTGTGCCGTTGGAGGCCCCGCCGACTACTCTCCTGCCGGGGGTCCTGCCAACCCTTTGTCCTGTCTCGTTGGAGGTCCCGCCGTCTACTCTCCTGCCGGGGGTCCTGCCAATCCTTTGTCCTGTGCCGTTGGAGGCCCCGCCGACTACTCTCGTGCCGGGGGTCCTGCCAACCCTTTGTCCTGTGCCGTTGGAGGCCCCGCCGACTACTCTCCTGCCGGGGGTCCTGCCAATCCTATGTCCTGTGCCGTTGGAGGCCCCGCCGACTACTCTCCTGCCGGGGGTCCTGCCAATCCTATGTCCTGTGCCGTTGGAGGCCCCGCCGACTACTCTCCTGCCGGGGGTCCTGCCAACCCTTTGTCCTGTGCCGTTGGAGGCCCCGCCGACTACTCTCCTGCTGGGGGTCCTGCCAACCCTTTGTCCTGTCCCGTTGGAGGGTCCGCCGACTACTCTCCTGCCGGGGGTCCTGCCAACCCTTTGTCCTGTGCTGTTGGAGGCCCCGCCGACTACTCTCCTGCCGGGGGTCCTGCCAACCCTTTGTCCTGTCTCGTTGGAGGTCCCGCCGTCTACTCTCCTGCCGGGGGTCCTGCCAATTCTATGTCCTGTGCCGTTGGAGGCCCCGCCGACTACTCTCCTGCCGGGGGTCCTGCCAACCCTTTGTCCTGTGCTGTTGGAGGTCCCGCCGACTACTCTCCTGCCGGGGGTCCTGCCAACCCTTTGTCCTGTCTCGTTGGAGGTCCCGCCGTCTACTCTCCTGCCGGGGGTCCTGCCAATCCTATGTACTGTGCCGTTGGAGGCCCCGCCGACTGCTCTCCTGCCGGGGATCCTGCAAATCCCGTGTCCTGGTCCTCTTCCGTGGGGGATCCTGCCGAGGCCTGTCCCACCAGCTCCGACACCGGGTCCTGCCCGGTCTCTGGCACTGTCCCGTCAGCGCCTTCCTGCCCGGCCTCCGGAGCTCTCTGGTCTTCGCCCTCGAGCCCGGCCCCCTGACTCTTCCTGCCGCGGTCCTCGCCCTCGGGCCCGGCCCCCTGATTCTTCCGGTCGCAGTCCTCGCCCTCATGCTCGGCCCCCTGAGTTCGCCCGCGGTGGCCTTCGCCCCTCCATAACCCCCATTTTGGACTCTGCCTTGCCCCCGGGCCGTCCGCCCGAGACCCCTTCCTTGGACTCTGCCTTGCCCCCGGGCCGTCCGCCCGAATACCCCTTTTTGAACTCTGCCTTGCCCCCGGGCCGTCCGCCCGAATACCCCTTTTTGAACTCTGCCTTGCCCCCGGGCCGTCCGCCCGAGAACCCCTCCTTGAACTCTGCCTTGCCCCCGGGCCGTCCGCCCGAGATCCCTTCCTGGTCCTCTGCTGTGCTCCTGGTCGGTCAGCTCAGTCCCGTCCTCCTGACCCCCTCCACCCACCCTGGTGGCCTAGTGATACGTCCCTCCTCCTGACCCCCTCCACCCACCCTGGTGGCCTAGTGATACGTCCCTCCTCCGGACCCCCTCCACCCACCCTGCTTGAGGACTTTTGTGTTTTTTTGGGACGTCTGGGATCCGTCCCTTGAGGGGGGGGTACTGTCACGATCTGTCTTTATGGTGTTTTGTCTTGTCTTGTTTTATTTTGTAAGGTTTTACGTTGTGTCTCGTTTGGATTTGTCTGTGGTTCCCTGTCGTTAGTTTCCCTGGTGTGTCTGATTACCCAATTGTGTTCACCTGTGGCCCCTGTGTTTTCTCCTCCTCCCTCACCTGTGTCTTGTTTGTGTGATTAGTCTTGTGTGTATTTAAGTTCTGGTTTTTCTGTCTGTCTTTGTCGGTTCGTCGTTTGTATGTGACTGTGTTCACCGGTGAGTGTTCTGTCTGTCCAAGTTCTATTAAAAGTATATCAGTTTAATCTGCATTTGGGTCCTGCTTCCTTCGCTCTACCGTGACAATCACGTACAATGTGTTGGAGCGCTAATAGAAGCACAAGTGTAGCGTAGTCATGCCACTATGTTTTAGCCTTTGCAGAGCATTTACATACACACAACCCTATATTACACACTACAGGAAAGGGAAACCCCAAACAATTATAATATGTCCCCTTTAATAATTCTTGAATTAAATTACAATAAAACAGAAGTGTGCCCGTCACATGAAACCAGATTTCATAGCAGTGGTTTCATGTAACATGAGAAAAGAAGCTGAGTTAATAAATAACTGCTATTTCTTCCCCTCCTC